GAGGAGGAGGATCGGCTCGAATCGTGAGCAAGCAGCTTTAATAAGAATCCCGGTTCCTGGAAGAAGAATCGATGTATACCGAGCGTGCAGAATCCACGTTTTTCCTTTATCCGAGATCCGGCACACGGGAATGGCGAGAAGAAACGTTTGAAAAACCGCGAAAGGAATCGCGTTTGGAAGAAGCGTGAAACTTGGAATGGTCGTTTCTCGCTTGGTCGACGACCTCTCCGCGTTTCTTTTATCCTTTCTCTCCCCTTTTCTTTTTTCCTCGATTCCTGTTCGATTCCTTGCCACGAGAGGATATCGCCTCGACTCGAGGAACGTTGTTGCAACGTTGTTGCATTTTCGCGTGCGGTTAATTGGCAGAGGCTCGGGAAACGTTCGTATCGTGTCCCGAGAGGAGAGAGGTGGACGGGTGGGAAAGGGTTGTCAACCTTAAATTGGCCCCTCTGACACAGCTAATCACGCTCCTCTCGTTAATTCGTTAATTAGTTGACGCACCGTTTCGTGGTTGTTCCATCGGTTATCATCGTTGTTGTGTACACATCGCCATGTGTTATGTAAAAAAAAGAAGAGAGAGAGAGAGAGAGAAAGAAAAGTGTCACGGAAAGATGTTCCCTGCTCGAGCGCAATTCTTCCTTGACTCACTTACTCGGTTATTTACCACGGTAAAAGAGAGAACAGAGCGCTAAACCTTCCTTCGTTTACGTAACCTTCGAACAGTTCTTTTTGTTCGAACAGGCTTCGAACGTTTTAGGTTAGGTTGGCTTACAGATATCGATCGCGTAGCGGGATCTACGTGCGAAGGAAGGAAATGTAAAGCGATTATTCGATCGAGGAAAAAAATCGTTTCTATCCTATTCGTACTGTTTCTCTCTCTCTTTCTCTCTCGTGAGAGGAAAGAGCGATGTTAGAAATTGAATTATTATATAGAGCAAATTTTCATCGGTTGTCGAGAAGGAGAGAAAAAGATGAGGCGAGAGAGTCAAGTTCACGATTCTCTCGTCATTGTCAATCCCACAGGCGGATAGAGATAATGGTGAGCCGAAGATGATCATTGTCGCTTTTTGTCGCCACGCTAATAATTCTCTTTTAAACGGACATTCGTGGATTAATTACGCGGAGAATTAGAAGCTTCTTCAACAGCGGGATTTATCCTTAACGCGAAACTCAAATGAATTCAAGATGATAAAGTCGTTTAATTCCTTTTTCCTTTTTCAATGGGATAATCGTGAAGCTTGGCATCGTCGTCGCTTCGTCGAACGATTAAACGAGAGAAAGAGAGAGAGAAGAGAATGTTTATTCGTTCACGCTCGATTTTCTTGCAAAGAAAGAGAGAGAGAGAGAAAGAGAAGAAACGGCGAATTCCATTTCCTCGTTCCTATGTAATCTGAATCGAAGGATCGTAAAGAACTATCTAATCGATTCATTTAACGAGTATCGTTGCGTGAAAGAAATAAAGAATTCCTGCGAGGAAGAGGAAACCTTCGAGAGAATCTAGTTTTTGCCGAGTAACGGTAACAATCCATATTAATGTGATGATCTAAAATATAAAATATCGTTGTGCAAATTATCCGACAAGTAAAAATTAATTTAACGCCAATGGAACGCCAAGCGAAAATGAAAACACGAAAATGAATTTTTGACGATTAATATTGTAATTTGTATTGGATTATTTACAAAGTAATTTCGTTTTTTACTTTTCATAACGATAAAACACGTGATCAGGAACGGTCGAACAATTTCTCCAGTCGTTAATCGTCGGTTTGTTTCGATAGGTATCTTTATTTTGTCTTCAACTAGCGCGTTTTTAACGTTAAAATTATCGGAACGAAATTTTGAACGACCAGTTTCGAGACTGGCGTGCTGTTAATACCTGTTACACCTCCATAGACTTGGCGTAACTTTTTTTCTCGCCTGAGAAGAAATTATTTATTCGTTCTTACCTTTTAATAAAAAAGTAGAATATGTCGAAAATGCTCCTTTTGCATTTCGCATCTTGGTTATCGCACACACACACACACACACACACAAAATTAAACACGGAATCAAACGAATTTTTCTTATAAACGAACCACGAAATGCCAACTGTCAAAATACGTAATAAGAACACGCTTTAGAATGAAGTTGGCTACATAAACGCTCGACTAGCGACGCTCGTGTGGAAAAACGAAATTACTTTCCGAACAGTCGAATATTTGAAATTGTTAATTACACGTCCATTTTATTCGCGTGATAGAATTGTGATAATGGATAAGATTCCTGTGTTAAAAATATATACGTATAGGTAAATTATTTTCAACTCGAATACGAGTGGAAAATTCATAAACTAAGGGACTCGAAGAATTTTTATATATATTTTGTATAAGAAAAGATCCGTCTTTAAAAGATTTTAAAATTATTCCAACTAGTGACAGCTAGTAGCAGCTAATTTTTATTTTATTCTATTTTAAAACTCTACCCTTTATAATGGCACAAGAAAGAGCACCGAATTCCTTTTTGAAATTAAGATTGAAAATAAAAAGTATTAAATTAACGTATAATTCCAAAAATATCAATAATATCAAAATGAAATTTGGCACGATACAAATACATATCTAGTACGCTTAATTCAAAAATTAATTCGATAAAAAAAAAATGGCAAGATTAATAAATAACAATTTTATTTTTCAGCAATTTGGAGCAATCCACTACTTTAAAGCCGTGTAACTATGTTGATAATTAAAAAAGATATGAAGAAAAAAATCATCCACTGTACCGTGGACCCAATCTTCAATCAATTATCTGCATACAAATTTTTTCATTTCGAAGATACTCACGAAAAGGAGTACCTTTTTCCGAGGCTTTTCAGAGGCGAATACCTCACTGCTCGAGTAAACGTGGGCCGAATAATATCAATGACTGTTTAAAATTATAGAGCGTTCGATGGTTGTTAACGAAGTATCGCGACGCCTCGACCTGTTGCCGAGAATAAAAGTGCGAACCGTTTGTAATTGATCGTGCACCGTTACATCATTCGCTTACTCGTCGAATCGACGCTCCTCTCGATTCGATTTACAGTTAAACCACTGTACTACTAATAGATAAGCCGAACGCAGGAGAGTCGTGGGAGAGCGGATAACAAGCGAAACGTTATTGAAGTTGAAAATCGATTGTTACGACGAATATGCTCGTAAAATTTTAAAGGCGGATCGATCTTTCGCTTCCTCGCGTCGAGAAAACTTAGTAAAAAAAAAAAAAAAAAGTAGAATTGGTTGGTTAACGTGGAGCGTTAACGGAATTCGAAATTAGAAAGATGCGATATCGGGTAAAATTTAATAATTGCTTCGTTGATTTAATTGTAACGCAGTTAATACAGAATAAACGTTATTTAAACATTTTAAAATAGATCGAAGTAACTTTGTTCGAAATTTTTAACCTAATTTTTCAATCTTGGGTGAATGCGTTATATTCTCTGGTTACAGCGACCGTTGGGATAGCGAGCACTGTGCAGATCGAGTGTGCGAGCGAGTCGATAATCGTGCACATCTCGACCGAGGGTAAAACGGATTTCCATGGTCTGGTGTATCCTAGGGGGTTGTCGAAGAACAGCTCTTGCCTGCAAGAGTACAGAAGCCAGCCAACCCCCATAACTTACAACCTGCCCCTCAGGTCTTGCAACACGATGCCCACGCAATTGGTAAGTGACGAAAATTAATAAAACACGATAATCTTTCATTCTCTTGTCAATTTATCGAACGATTTATCGTTCCCGATAAATGGGACGAGAATGGAAATACGTATTTATTACTCTTAAGTAAGTTTTCTGACCTCGTTAACAGGCTCACACTTTATTCGAGTTATTAGATTCTCACCTGGGTTGCACAATTTCTGAACGTCCGTCATTGGCGATAATTGCGCGTTATCGAGGTTAATAACGGTCGAATCGTTACACCTTCGTTGGACCGCTGAATAACGCATCGTTTATCAAGGAAAATGGTTCGTTCATTCATTCAAAAGTAATCGATTTTTCGATCGCGCGATAGAAAACGAACAGCAATGAATCCTCATTACGATGGTTCGAATATCCAATTAAGTTCGATATTTTTAGTCGATAGAAACTTTGACGATCGTCCATCAAGAAAAAAATGGGTGGTCATTTGTGCAATCGATTTTTTTACACCGAATTTACGACAGAAGTTCGAGTATCGAGTCGAGTTCGATTTCCAATCGATAGAAATTTTGACGATCCTCTATCAAGGAAAATAATTCGCCACTTGTGTAACAAATTTTTTTTCTACCGATCTTACGACAAAAATAAACGAATCCTAATCCTTAAACGAATTGGTTCGAATATCGAATTAAATTCGCGTAATAGATTCTTTTTTACACCGATCTTACGATCACAAAGAATCGAATTCGATTCCTAATCGACACAAACATCGAATTCCCGTGCAATCCTTCCTTCCTTCCTTCCTTCCTTCCTTTCTTCCTTCCCCACATCAAATAAACATCGAACATAAATCGAACGTGAATAGAGACATCGGAAAATAAACACGACATTTCGACGAATAATAATAATAATCCTCCTTTGTATCGAATCCCGTTTACCCGTGCGCCTCGAGTATAGAATTAAGCTTCCCTCGAAAACGGAAAAAACACCGTGACGCTGACTAATCGTTAAAGATGCTCGACCGCGCGTAAAACGAAATTACGTAAGAAATCACTTCGTGAAAGAAGCGGAATAACGTTTCGTGCACGGAGGAAGAGAGGCTCGATCGACGATGCGACGTTCGCGTATGCGCGGCTCTCGGCGCTGGGAGGAAGGGGAGAGGGGGGGGGGGAAAGGTGCGGAGGCGTGAACGCACGCGCGGTTACACGCGCGAGAGGAAGAAGCGTGTGTCCGAACGAGGATGGAGGGAATGTGAAGCGATGCGCGCGAGAGGAAGAAAAAGAAGGGACGAGGGAAGAAAATACTAGGGACGGGGGAGGGCTGGTTCGTGTAACGAGGGAATCGTGTGTCGAGGCGAGAGATCGCTTCCTCGCCATACCATAACTGGACCGTTATGTGACCGGACTTACGGCCTTCTTCTTACAAGAGAGCGTTACAAGAGATATGTAGTGTGCCAAGAGACTAACGCTTGCTACGCCTTGTGTCCTGTACCGATATATATGTATATAGCGCATGCGCGCATGCAAACGCGCATGCCCGTGTCCTTAACGGAACAGTGGTTCCTTTCCTACCATTTTTCCTCCCGATAGTGAACCGGCCATTTTCTAACCCAAGGTTTCCAGGATTGAGATACTCACAGTGTCGTCACAATCTTGCCCACTTTTGACAGGAATTCGGCAGGGATAATTCTCTTGCAAGGTAAAATTTTTAAAAGTTAAGGATATTTTGAAGATTACGCGGAATAACCAACGGAACGACAAGGTTATCTTGAATAAAGTAATTCGTTATATACGAAATTTTAGAAACTGTTATACGCTTCTTTCTCGGTTAATTTGTTTCCAATTCTGTTTTTACGTGTTCGATCAGTATACCTCAAATGTTAAACTGCTTCGAGGTGGGAAAAACGTTCTCCGCCGTTCGATGAATATATATTTTATACCGTAGATTCGTATCGTTCGGAATTCCCTCGCAAAACTTGGCCAATAATACGAACAATCTTTCCATTCTCCCATTTTTTCGATACGGATTTACCATTGTTTCGATAATTGAGAATATATATGAGAATATCGGCGGAATAATTATTCCTTGACCGATTCCCCATCACAGACTCACAGAGGCGACTGAATATTTACGAGAAACAATCTTAAATCTATATATACGTATCCGATCGTAGATCGATCGATAACGGCTGTAAAAAGGTGCTCGAGGGAAGCGATGATGTCGTATCGATGATGAAAGCCCTCGGCTTGTGGAGGAAGATTATAATCACGATCGATCCATCCATCGTGTCTTCGAGAGGAAAAACTCTCTTCGGACACCCGTTGATTAAACTTCCACGAGACTCGTACGAGGAGAAGAAGCGAGGCCTTCGCTCGAACGTTTGAGCGCCTCTCGAGGCAAAGTCGCGCGTCTTATTTGGTAAACACATCGCGAAAGAGAAGTTCCGTGAAATACGTATGGCATTCCGAGCGAGACGAGTACTCGCGATTAAAGAAGGGAAAAAGCGCTCGAGTGGGCCGGTTAAATAGCGATTGTACGAGGGTCTGCATAATAATTTAAGAGTTGGTATGTCGAGGGAAGAACAATTTGTCCCCAGTAAGGAAGGACATGGAAGCCGAGTCTTTGACCTCTCGCCAAAGGATTCCTTGAGGCGCGTGGGCGTTGAAGGAACCGTGGGCCAGTTTCTCTTTCTCGCGGATATCCCGCAGGACGATCGTTGCCTCGTAAACCGTACGATTTTACGGGATGTCGTAGAAACCTTCCTCCACACGATTCTTATTCCGCTTGAACTTGAGTCGAAGGGGAGAGGGACGGAGGGTGAAGATTAAACTTAAGAGTTATCTAAATTGATATTGTTGTCGTGCAATATTAACACGGTCTGTGCGAAGCGCGACGGTAATAGGTTTTATCTCGTGTACTTAAGAGTAAAGTAGGGTTTTTTACACGTGCAAAGTGTTTGCCAAGATAACGGGACGGGATATTAAAATTGCGAACGAAACGGCAACCTAATATGGCCAACTTGGAGGCCCGAGTTTTCGTCGCTTGCGCAATCGATTTTGAGTGGCGTGTTAAAATATTACCTCGCGTATTTAACCCATCATCATCAATTGTGCAATTCACCTTCGAGAAAAAGACATACAATTAATTTCTTCTCGTTTTCGGATATTTTAATTATTAAGTAATTATCGTCCTTTTTTATCTGAGAAGAATTTCTTCCCATTTTTGAAATCTAATTAGAAATATTGTTCTTTTTTCTTTTTAATCTTCTTTTAGAAGATAAATTATCTTTAAATGGGAAAATAATTTATCAATTTCTTTTCATCAGTTCTATTAATATTTTCGATATCAGAAACATTGCCTTTTTATCTTCTTTTTTAGAATATTCGTTATCACTAGGTGAGACTTGATTGCGAAAAGGTAGCAAAAGAAGATTATTTTCATCAGTTCCATTAGGAGATCTGATCACAATTATCATCGTCTTCTTATCTTTTTTTTTTTTAATATTTATTATCAATAACTCGCTAATTTCTTTTCAGTTCCATTAAGAAATCCGATCAGAATATAAGAAACATCCTCTTCTTATATTCTTTTTTTTTAAAAATATTCGCTACCACTGAGACTCAATTGCAAAAGATAGCAGAAAATGGTACTTTAATTTCGAAGAGATAAGAGTAATTTCTTTTCATCGCTTCCACTCCAGCGATTCTTATTTAATCCCCCTTGGTCGAAATTTTGCAAACGAGAACAGAATAGATGCACACACTTTTTATCTTCTCTTTTCTGGTATTTTTTTTTTTTTTTGTTATCTGGGATTCAATTGCTAAAAGATAGGACGATTTCGCGTGGCCAATTTCGAGTTGAATAACAGCGAGCACAGAGGTCTTTCCACGAGAGGCGATGTGACCGCGAGCGTTTCGCAAACCGATCCTGGCTAAAACCGGCATCGGATGTTCGCACAAGCATGCAAATAACACCGCTGCCAGCTTGCGTTACTCATTAATGGCATCGTATCTCTATTCGCTTCCCTATTCCATTTATACATCTCGCCCGACCACGTACAATATCCTATCCTATCCTCGAGCCTCGGCACTGCAACTCGAGTTAATTTTTTATCCAATCCCCTGTTTGAATTATTATCATTTCATATGCAAATTTTCAGGGAAAAAGTACGTTTTTGAGAAAAAAATGTCGCGATCGCTCGGTATCTTTTTCTAATAATTTTTGGCAACAGATTAATTTACAATAATATAATCTCGTTTGCGATTTCACATTTTTTTAAAAAAAATGGTAATCCTTGGAATTCTTTTTTTGATGAATGGATGCTAATTCAATGCTATATATGAAAGTTATCAACGTAAAGATTTATTTTCGTAATTGTGTCCACCTGGTCGTAATAGAAAGCATGCTTCCTCTAGAACACTCTACGTGTTCTAAAAACCATCGAAAAAAAAAAAAAATAATAGAAAATCTTCGCGACATTTACGTTTTTAGATCGGAAAAATTTTAATTACGAAATTAAAATTTCATAATTTACAGCTTGCAAATTGATAATTCCGCGAGATAGAAGGCGGAGGATGCCCATGTTTCGAAAGTTCCTCCTCCTTCTCCGCGCATAATTCGATTTAAAATGGAGAATAATATTTCAGACGTAGGAAACCGCAGCCGTAAGCTTGTTTTTTACGAACGCGCAAAGGTCAGAGCCTCTCTTTCGGCTACAATGTCGTCGAGGAGAAGAGAGAGAGACAGAGAGGTCCTTAAAACGACCATCGCGAGTGGGACGATACGTTGTGGGCAGCCAGTTGTTGTGCCCACACTCCCCCTCGTAAAAGTAAAAGTTCCACGATCGATTCTTTCCTCTGCAATTCCACGTATTTCGCTTCGCTGCTCGTACACTTCTTTGCTCCATCATTTTGCCGTACACGTTTCGACGAATGAAAAACTAATTGAAATCTAATTGAATATTTAAATTTAAAACGCGGAGGGGGAAATGAAAGAAACGTGGAGAAACTGTGAAAAATCTTGCGATT